CTCCCCCTAGATTCAAATACATTGATCAAGTTTAAAACTTTTAAATCTAGTAAAGCCTTCAAATATCAAATATCTTTACTGGGTTGAGAAATTAAGGCTATTCCTCCTTCAAAAGAAAAGGAACTTTTGAATAAATAAATTTTCTGATCAGCTGTGGTAAATACAAAGTAATGGAAATATGTATGTAGGCATAATATAAAACTACTTTAATTTTCTATATCAGCTTGCAAAACATTGTTTTGGCTTATCAGCATAACAAAAGTTCTTCCAGAAACCGAGATACTATTCAAGAGAACAAACTCACTGTTACACCAGCCTGACCAACTGTTCAAAAATATTCTCTTCAGGTAGGGTACAGTGGCTCACCCCTGTAATGCTGGAGGCCAAAGTGGGAGGATCACTTGAGCCCAGGTGTATTAGTTTGTTTTCACACTGCTGATAAAGACATACCTGAGACTGGGAAGAACAATAGGTTTAATTGGACTCACGGTTCCACATGGCTGGGTAGGTCTCAGAATCATGGCAGGAGGTGAAAGGCACTTCTTACATGGTGGCGGCAAGAGAAAATGAGGAAGAAGCAAAAGTGAAAATCCCTGATAAACCCATCAGATCTCATGAGACTTATTCACTATCATGAGAATAACAAGGGAAAGACCAATCCTCATGATTCAATTACCTCCCCCTGAATCCCTCCCACAACACATGGGAATTCTGGGAGACACAATTCAAGTTGAGATTCGGATGGGGACATGGCCAAACTATATCACCAGGAGTTTGAGAGTAGCTTAGGCAACATAGGAAGACCTTGTCTCTACAAAATTAAAAAAAAAAAAAATAGCCAGATGTGAGGGTGCACACCTATGGTTCCAGCTACTTGGGAGGCTAAGGCAGGAGGATTGTTTGATCCCTGGGAAGTTGATGCTGCAGTGAGCCATGATCGTGCCACTGCACTCCAGCCTGGGTGACAGAGTGAAACTGTCTAAAACATACACACACACACGAAAACAATCATTTCTATTTTTACCGTTACACAATTTTCCAGAACTGGCTCTACATAAAGTATTACCTAGGCTACTCAGATGATCTTGGCTTCATGCTTTACAGATACCACTTGTCTTCCACTTCCTAGTCTTCCTCACTATGTATATATCCGTTCTCTTTATCAAACCTTTTCATTTTATGCTGTATTCATTCCCGATATGTACTAGTGCTACGTAGGTATTTGTTCTTATCCATTTTTTTTCCAATCAATATTTTATCCTTCTACCTATATATTTAATTTTATCACAATATTTTTATCCTTATGTTTTCTTTTCCAATTCTGTGTGCCTCACCTTCTTATTTTGTCTCAACCAGCAAACAAAAGACATTATTTGTTTATTAAAGTTACACATTTTTGAACAATAGTTTATATGACTCTTAGAGTCATATAATATATCTAACAGTCTCTTACAATTCTGATACCTTGAAAATCTCAAATGCAGATGTGCACTGGTGAAATAACTGAGATAGGAAGCAAGGATGTGAGGAGGGCTGGCCATTCTCCACCGATTTTCTATACTTACTCTGGGAAGACAGTAAATCAAGTCCAAGTTTAGCTCCACCAGAATATGACCATATATTGGACTTGGGTCTTTAAGCAGTGCTTTGCTTTACAAGACTGTAAACATTTTGCCAAGGGTATTTTTTGTTGCTTTGTTTTCTGTTTTGCTTTGTCGTGAGGTTTATAAGCAACGTTTTTGATAAAGCATTTTCTCAACTTGATTTGTTCACTGTTCTTCCAAAAACGTTGTTGGATAAATGAAAGAATGAATTTTGCCCGCCTCAACATGTAGTGCACATCTCATGCGGAATATCCACTCAAAATGGCTTTCAGGTTTTAAAGGAATATTCAACTCAATATTTGCCGTGGTTGTTTTCTCCTTTATCAAAATTCATTCCACCTTTATTTTCGTTCTGAAAAAGAAAACTGGACAATTTTTAAATTCTCAATAAGTAGTTGTTGAAGACAAGCAATAATAAGTAAGTCTAACTAGTTTAAGAATCTCATTAATTCTTGGGTAAGCCCGCCAGATTTTCTAACCCTCATGAAAGGCTAATGTACATTGCTGTTTCTGATGCCTATAACCATCTCCAAGAGAAATGTCATCCATTAGATTTTACAAATTAAAGGCAATTTTTATTATTTTTTACAAACAAAATATTATTTAATAAAATACGCCCTGCTTTACTTATGTATTTTCAAACAACAAAATAATAAGATATATCTCATTGATACACAAATACACATATATCGATACATGCACATATATCATCATAGAATGCTGTGAAATATATGAACCAAAACAATCAAAGACTTCTGCTTTTTTCCTAATTAAAAAGTAGAACAATTACAGTATCTTTTGGATAGCGATTAACTTTGGAAATTGAGAAATGCTTATTTTTCTGATTTTTTCACTTAATTCAGTGGACTTGCACAATTAGTTCTCTGTTATGCTATTTTTGGGAGATTTTTCCAGGAAGATCATGAGTTAATTGTGAAACTCAGATCCTGTGTTGATGTGTGAAATAATGAAAATAAAGTTTTCTAGTGGCCGGGTGATTAACTTTTATTTGAAAGATAAAGACATTTTTCTATAAATTCAAAACATGTTTCTTTAACCCAGATAAAAATATTAAATAAAAAATAAGATGTAATAAAATTTGATAATGCATTTGAATAAAAGTATAATACATAATGTTTTTCAATACAATCATATTGATGGGTGTTTTTATTTTTAGCTCTATAAGGCATGTCCATTGACTTTGAAACTATTAACCTGAATGAATAAGTGCAAAATAATGGAACCACATAACTCTACCTTGCCTTTCTACGTATTGTGATCCTATAACATCCGGATTGAACTGACTAGAAGAATAGCTGATATCACATGGCTCAGCAAATTTAACTTTGTGACTTTCAAATGAAAACTTTAATCCCTTGAAACAGATATATCCATACAGATAAATATAGGTATACTTATACATATGTATATATACTTATAGATATGCATATAGATGTGGTTACAGTTGAAGTCTAGATGAAGGTAACATTGAAATCAAGAGGTTCAATTCTCTAAATCAGAACAATAAAATATTATAGAAAAGTGATTATAAGAAACCATTTTCATTTCCCCCATAAATTCAGTCATGTTTATGGAAACTGAGCAGAACATTCAAGATATCCTTTTTGGGTTCATGAAGGGAGAAAATATACTGGGAATAAAGGCTTCATGGTGGCACCTGCATTCAGAAGACCTTGGCAATAACCCTGATCCTGACTCTGCCACTAGAGCTAGTGTAAGTTTCCTGAGTGTTTTTGCTGCTGTCATTGTTGTTTAACCTACAAGATGAAATGAATGTAACTGCTACCATTTAATGTCTGTTCTAGTAGAGCAACTTTTAATGCTACTGTGTGACTCAATCAGACACATTTAAGAAGTTTTGACATTTAAACAAAATATCTTGATTTTATGTTGTTTGTTGAATATATCCTTTGATTTTAGAAAAAAGCTGATATTCATTTATATCTTTTAAAATTTTCATCAACAAAATGCCACCTTCTTCCTATTTTTATCAGGGGAGTGGTTTAACTGAAATTCAGGTTTGTAAGAAAACTCTTTGGATCAAAGTGTTCTTGTCATCAGCTTAAGCTAAAAAATAAATTAGTTTGCCCAGGCGCGGTGGCTCACGCCTGTAATCCCAGCACTTTGGGAGGCCGAGGCGGGTGGATCACAAGGTCAGGAGATCGAGACCACGGTGAAACCCCGTCTCTACTAAAAATACAAAAGATGAGCCGGGGGCGGTGGCGGGCGCCTGTAGTCCCAGCTACTCGGGAGGCTGAGGCAGGAGAATGGTGTGAACCCAGGAGGTGGAGCTTTCAGTGAGCCAGGATCGCGCCACTGCACTCCAGGTTGGGCGACAGAGCGAGACTCCGTCTCAAAAAAATAAAATAAATAAATAAATAAATAATTAGTTCATATTAAAGTCTTGTTTCTTTCCCTTGTTAAGTTGCAAAATTTTCAATATAATGGTGATGGTGAAGAAGAATGCTGTATCATACCATGAGGATTAAGTAAGATAATAGAAAAGCCAGTTGAAAAAAAATATCTAAAATGTTTTGAGTTAAATATGTTAAACCAATATGAAAAAAACTCTACACTAATTTAATAGTTATATGAGTTGTTCAATGAAAATGTCAAATTAATGAGCAGAAGAGTATGATAGGGTGAGGTTATACCAAATACAATAATTTGGAAAGATAATATACTTTCATAATTAACCTAGAAATATGGTTTGATCTGTCACCATTTGCTTGCTCTTACAATAAAAGAAAGAAATTTTGAACGGATAGAAAGATTCATTACACATTCGCAGTGAGTTGACAAATGTGACCTGAATTAAATAAAACATACATGCTTGATATATAAAGACATGTTAAGTAGGTATTGCTTTTTGTTGTTGACTTAAATCTGAATACTATCTAAATAAAAGCAAAATGTTGAAAAATGTGAGATTACTAACCATTCTGAAGTTCTATTTTTCATTTCAATCTAGAATTATTATTCTTTGGAGCTATTGATGTATTTATCTATCCGCATGCATGTTTATGAGGTATATGAAAATCATAGATTCTCAGTCAGGGAGATAGCTTCTCTGAATGACATCATCACTTACATATAATTGAGTTTCATGAACAAAACGGAACCACATTGTGTTTTGAAATTAGAATGTTTTATTGGAAGATAAATAGATAATTCAACCAGTTATAAAAGCAAAAGTAGAGAATACCAGGATTATGATAGAGATATGGGTGCACATAGAAAAGATTGCCTGAAATTCTGAGATGTTAAATTCTTGTGTGCAAATAGCTCCAGCATGATCTTGGTTGTCCAATGATTGAAGTCAGCTTTGGGAAAGTCCTCTTATAATTTCAGATATTGTGTTGCTGGGGCAGTAGTTTAATAGAATCCAGAGAATCCATATCCTCCATAGTATGATGGGCGGTAGCAGCCATATCCGTAGCCTCCAAAGCCAGAACCATATCCATAGCCTCCAAAGCCAGAGTCACATCCGTAGCCTCCAAAGCCAGAGCCGTATCTGTAGCCTCCATAGCCACAGCCAGAACCCAGTCTGCGGAAGCCGCCACATCCACATCCATAGCCATAGCCCAGGCCACCGAAGCCTCCGTAGCCATAGCCCAGGCCTCCGTAGTAGCTGCCGTAGTAGCTCATGGTGTCAGGGGTAGTGAGTTTGGTTTGCTGCTCAAGGCAAGGTCCTGAGTGTGAACGCTGACATCTGCGCAGGCATGCTTATATACCCTGACAGATCACGTGACAAAACACTTCCTGCCTATTTTAGTGTAATTCTATATGTTACACTTACCTGACCCAATCCTGACATCTGAAGAGGCCCTCAAACTCATTAAAGTGTTTGAGCTTGCATTGCATTGCTGTCTTGTCATGCTGTCCCTTTAACATATTGCGTCACTTTTATGAATCGAAATTGCTGTAGGTTCAAAGTCGGTACATACCAGACCTTAAATAGACTTCTTTGTAGGCATGTTGCATTACACAGTTGGTAATGCTACATTTTGAAATTAAGTATTGCTTCATCTCTGGCTTTCTTGGAATTGTTTTGCTTCATTTGTGATTGCATAACAGACTTTGGTTAAATTCAATGCTCTGAAATTTATCATATTCTTCCAGAGTTATCTTATACCTTAGGTGAGTTCCCTTTTTAAAGAGATGCAAATGTTTGAAAGACTGGAGCCATCTGCTCACCTGCTATGCCTAACAGTAAAGAACTTCATGGGGTTAAAAAAGTTAAAATAAAGCCACCATTCTTGTATTATTCTAGGACATTGGCCATCATAATCAATATTCTCCTTTTTGTTGTTGTTGTTTTACTAGTTTAAAAAATAAAAACCATTTTGATTTAACAACATAACAGAATATAGCTCAAACATTAAAGTCAAATCACAGTAATAAAAAATCTATTTCCTAAGCAGCTTTACAAACTGTTCAAAATTTTTTTCACACCCTGACTCCCTTACTACCATATTAGACATCCAAGGTGCTACCAAAAATACAGATTGTATGGCTCTCCTCTCTTACAAACACCATTCATTCATTTTTCCTGATCCACACATTTATCCTCTTTTCAATATATTCTTTCAGTTCCCATTAGCGTCTGGGACTAGGTGAGATGGTGAAATATATGGAATTCTCTTTGCCTCCCATCAATTTTCATTTAGTACTTACTTAAATTCATATCTATCTATCTATATATAGATATATGTATATAAAGATATATATATAATCTTCAAATTTTGATAATATTTTTGCCTTTATATTACCTTTACCTATTGTGTGTTCCTTTTTTTCCTAAAGGAAAATAGCTAACTAATCTTTATTAAGATGTTAAGCATTTATTAAAGTGTTAGATGTTAAAAATAGATGCCATTGCCCAAGACCCTGGGAAATTCAGTAAGAGACTGTTAGCATTGTGAATGTCTTAGTTATCCCCAAAAATATGTATAATGTAAAAAGACAGGATGAAGAAAATAATAAAGACAAAGAGTACCTCAGCTGACTCTAAGAATTTAGTCACCTAGACCCAAGGCTGACCCCAAACCCCACCCACATATGCCCTTAACTTTAAGCTTAAATATATAATTTCTTGTTAAACTTGTATTACTTTGAATATACTGTTCAACTTTTGATGAGTTTATAAGCAATTTTCAAATTATGCATTTCTCCAGATAGATTTGCTGGCTGCAGTTCAATGACCAGCATGCAATAGAAACTCAATATATAAATATTGAATAGATGAATGAATTCTAAAGTTCTTACAGGTAAAAATCTTACATCTCATAGAAATGAACAATACTATGAATGTATCCAACAATAAGAATTTAAAAGAGAAATTAGCTCAAATAGCTTTCTTTCTTTAGAGGAACAAATAAGCTATCATTTCATTTGCTTTTTGTTGCTGTTGTTTAAGGCATATTTAAAAATACTTAAATCTTAAGTGCACAAGTTGGTGATATTTTTCTTATATTTATAGACCACCTATAACAAGCACACTCTAATTCCCAAAATCTGTCCCTTGACTCTAGCAGTCAATATTATTCCGTGTAGAGTAACTATTAACATCCTGCGTAAGGCTTTCTTGTTCTGTACTTCACTTAGGTGGTCTCATATAGCATACTGAAACTTTCCATTTCCATCCCCAATTGGTCTGTGTATCACTGTCTATTAGGTAGACCTCTGTCACATGTAACGTGAATTTTGTCGTTTTAATTTCTGAAAAGTAGTCTACTACATGAATAGAGCACAACTGATTTATGATTCTACTCTGGTAGGCCTATATTTGAGGAGTTTAGTGGTTTCAGTTTTGGTTTGGGGTTGTTTTTTTTTTTTTTTTTTTTTTTTATTGCTACAGTGAATAAAGAAAGCTGTTATGTACCTTTTTATAAATATTCTTTTTTTCTTTTTTTCTTTTTTTTTTTAATGGAGTCTCACTCTATCATGCAGACTGGAGTGCAGTGGCACTATCTTGGCTCACTGCAACCTCTGTCTCCCAGGTTCAAGTGATTATCCTGCCTCTGCCTCCCAAATAACTGGGACTACAGGCATGCATCACCATGCCCAAATAAAAAATAATTTTGTATTTTTAGTAGAACAGGGTTTCGCCATATTGGCCAGGCTGGTCTCAAACTCCTTACCTCAAGTGATCCGCCTGCCTCAGCCTCAGCCTCCCAAAGTGCTGGGATTACAGTAGTGAGCCACCATACCCAACTAAGATCCTTATTTTTAGACCTAGACTTTCCTATACCTTTGTTACAGCTGGGATAGGAATTACTAATTTGTATCATATCTATACTTATTTTATACATTATATATAATTATATATTATCATAAATAACAGTTATATATTATATAATATATAGTTAGCTTCCATAGATTCTACCAATCTCAAGATACAGTTATTACGTTTACCAGTTGTTAAATTTACTGTACCAACAGGGATGTATGAGAGTTCCAGTTGCTGCACATCCTTACCTCCACTGATCACTTGCAAACTCTTTAAAAAATTGACTACTCTTGTGAATACATAATGATACCTGATTATTGTTTTAATATGGTTTTATTGACTAATAACAATGCTCAACATCTTTACATATGCTTATAGGCCATTTAGATATTTTTTTGAAGTACTGTTGAAGTATTTTGTTCACTTTTAATTGAGCTAGTAATATTTTATTATTGATTCTCAGGTGATCTTTACATATTTGGGTATGGGTGTTTTTTCAGATTTATGTATTAAAAATATTTTCATCCAGTGTATAGATTTTTTCACCTTAAAATAGTGTCTATACATAAATAAAATGCAATAATATAATAAATTCCCACTTTAAAATCTTTGTTTTATGTTTAATGTTTTTGGTACTAATTTAAAAAATTTTGACTACCTCTCACATTGTTATTTAAAACTTTTCTCTGTTTTCTTTAAAACTTGTTCTATTTTTGTGATTATTTTTTAAATGCAGTTGATGATTTGAATATTACAGTTTTTATTAACTCAGGCTGAAGCAACATAATCGCAAATAAATCAAACAGGTTTCAGATACCGCCAATTTACGTCTACCAAATATGCATCTGTTTTGGGGCTTAAGGTCTTGTTATAATGTGTTCTTCCTGAGATAAGCAAAGCTCTTCCCTGAAAGTAAAGATATTCTGGAATATTTTTTTAAATCCTTCAGCAATCCATAAAATCAATAAATTCAAGTTCTAATAATTTGATCATAGTACATTGTACTAGAAGTATCAAACGCTTTTTCCAAGTAGTTAAATTGATTGTTATACTTATTCATAGCTGCAGAAGGCCTTTACCTGTATTGTGGGAAAATGCCACTAACGATTAGGAAAATGAAAGAGCTATTGTCATATTCTGTCAAACTAAGTAGTGTAGCCCTCCAGTGGAATCAATTGACCCAGTAAATGGAGAGTGTATGTACTCTGACTAGACTGACTGAACGTGTGGGTCTCACTAGCTGGCTGTATAAACCTAGTCTTATGTTTAGTAAACAAGTCTGAGTCTTTCTGATTCTTCTTAATTTTTTATACCATTTGAATTTATCATGATTTACTGATTACTTTTATTTAGATCTAGATATGCTAGAAATGAAGAGGTTCCAGATTCACCAAAATCTTAAATAAAAAGAGGCACATAGTGTGAAAAGTAGACTAGTCTTCAAAACTCAGCTGTGATTGTTACACGAACATATGACCAGAATTTTAAGATTATTGGGAAGCACTCAAGAAAAGAAATAGGCAATGGAATGGAGAGTCAGCATTTAAACAAATAGATAAATAAATAAACAGAAGCCATGTGTGCCATTTCAAATTGAGACAATTTATTGCAAAGGGAACCAAGCAATTCCACAATTAGTACAGATAATGGATGCCAGTAGACATGATATAGACAATTATAATAAATATTCCTAACATCTTAGATGCTAAATGATTTTTTTTAATCTCAGATTGATACAGTGTGCCCTTGTTTGACTCAATATTTGGTTAATTTGAATGATCTTCTTATGACCTCTGATACTGAGTCCTCAGGGTAGGATTTCAGTAGAACTGAGAGAATCCATATCCTCCATAGCATGATGGGCGGCAGCTGCGGTATCCATAGCCTCCGAAGCCAGAGCCATATCCGTAGCCTCCATAGCCACAGCCATAACCCAGTCTGCGGAAGCCGCCACATCCACAGCCGTAGCCATAGCCCAGGTCATCGAAGCCTCCATAGCCGTAGCCTAGGCCTCCGTAGTAGTTGCCGTAGTAGTTCATGGTGTCAGGAGTGGTGAGTTGGTTTGCTGCTCAAGGCAAGATCCTGAGTGTGAATGGCAGCATGTGTCGAGGGAGGCTTATATACCCTGGTCAGAGCATGTGGTGAGTCACATGCGTACCTGTTTGTGTGTGTGTGTGTGTGTTTTCAATTAGTTACTTAACAGAAGTCATTCATTGTTCCCTGGCACAAGGAGAGGCCCTTGCATTCTTTAAATTGTTTGAGTATGCTTTGTTGCTGAGTTACAGTGGCCCTTAAAAGTTATTACATCACTTAATGAGAAGAAATTGCTGTATCTAAAGTCTTGGCATACCAGATCCTAAATAGATTTCTTCATAGCTAGACATATTGCATATTACAAATGAAATAAAATGAAGGTTATATGTTCC